CCAGCCTCCCAGGGGGCAGGACACAGAAATGGCTGCAGAGGAGCCAGCTCAGGTAGGGGTGGCTGCTGGGGGGTTCCAACCGGGGGGGCAGGGGCAGCAAATATACGGGGATGGGAAGGTTTGGGCTGGTTTGGAGCCTGGCAGAAAAATCGCAGGGTGGCGACAGGGAGGAGGCCACGGTGGGACAGACCTGCTGGGACTCATGTAATTAGTGGCTCAGATTCTAGGGACAGCCATGAGGTCAGGAGGTGGAAATGCCCTAATTAGTGGAGTGCTGGGGAAAGAGAGCAGACTCCTCATGCTGGAGTCTGATCCGACCAACCAGCGGCCCCCAGTAGAGAGGCTCAGGGGAGCTGCCCCTCTCCTCCCATCCACCTCTTCACAATGGCGGGTCTACCAGGGAATTGTCCCTAGGTCCTGCATCTCCTGAATCAGTTCCTGGCTAGTAGAGGTGGGATGGATCTGCTGGGAGTGACAAGGGGTTTCTCTTCAGCCCCTCATCCAGATGTTTCCTGGCTGCTCTGAGCAGGGTGGGACCCTGCTGACTGTAGCCACCCAGAGGTTCCAGGTGATTGATTCCTCTTCATGACAGGTGGGGCTGTGAGTGGGCAGCAGGTGCTGAGTGGGGGGTTCTTGCTCTTTCAGGGGCTGGTGCCCTTCGAGGAGGTGGCTGTGTATTTCACCAGGACCGAGTGGGCTCTACTGGACCCCGCTCAGAGAGCCCTCTACAGAGCCGTCATGCAGGAGAACTACGAGAACGTGACCTCGCTGGGTAAGGGCTCCTGTCTCTGCCCTTCTGAGAAGGGGAAATGCTGACTTGTGGTTTTTACAGGCATGTGCACTGCTCTGTCCTGCCCCCACTCTACTCCTGAGGCCCTGCCCCTGCCCTGCCTCTCTGCTTCCCACCTCCTGGTGGTTCTGTCTAGCTCCCATCCCCACACATACATTCAAAGAAGCACTAGGAGGTTTCCTCTCCTCGGGGTAGAAAAGATTGCCTAGTGGCTAAGGCGGAAGCCTGAGGCTTGGGTATTCTGGATTTGATTCTCTGCTGTGCCACAGACTTCCTGCTTAGCCTTGAGACAGTCACTTCACCTCTCAATGCTCTAGAGCAGGGGTTCCCAAACTTTTTGACACGGGGACCAGTAAATCCATTCACGAGCTTTTGGAGGACTGGTAACATATAGTTGCATATTCATTAAGCAAATGACGAATATGCAAATACGTTGTTTTTGGTCCTTCCAAAGCCCCCAGGGCCAGCTTTAGCAAAGCTTTTGATATGGCCACCCACAACATTCTTGCCAGCAAGTTAAGGGAATATGGATTGGAAAAATGGACTGTAATCCAATAAAACCCTGCACCCCAACATCATGTATTGAAAAGAGACTCATTCATTTTCAGAAAGCTGATACCATCTTTGCAATTTTTTTATCCATATTCTGATTCCGGATGGTGAATGCACCAGGTTCTCTCCATTCAGACACATTGCAGTGCTTTTAAACCTCAGTCAGCAGTGGGGATATTTAAAAGGCACTGCTTTTACATTTGTATTCAGGATCTGTGTGCACCCTGAACTGTCCTGCTCACTGCTGACCGATTCTCTCCCACCTTCCCCTTCCACCCTGGGCCAGCATGCTCCTGCCCCGGCCAGCCCTGCTTCTGCCAGCCAGTTCCCCCCGCCAGCCCTGCTTCTGCCAGCTGGTTCCTCAGCCAGCCCCGCGATCTCCCCCAGTCAGCCTCACTGCCCCTGCCAGCCGGTTTCCCCCCCCTCCGCGCCCTCCCCTGGCCAGCCCCACTGCTCCCGGCCAGCCCTGCCTCTGCCAGCCTACTCCCGCAGCCAGCCCTGCTTCCGCCGGCCGGTTCCCCTCCCTATCTCCCCAGGGCAGCTCCACTGCCCCGACCCTGCTTCCCTGCGGCCCATATCCAACCTCCCCTCCCCCTTCCACAGCCAGCAATAAGAGCTCACCTGATAACCCTCACTATGCCTCTGCCGGGAGCCTGAAACATACGGCTGCATCCACCCAGCCCGGCTGGGGGCTTGGGGAACCCAGTGCTCACGGGCAGTCCGGGAACACCCTGGCAGCCACACTGAGGCCCAGTATTTTTTTTCCCGCAGCCCGCCCATAGTTTGGGAAATGCTGCTGTAGAGGTTCCCACCTGCCAAATACTGATCCTGCTTCCTAAGCTAGATCCATTCCTTCCTGTGTGGGAATGTGGCAATGGATCTAACAAGGTTTTGGCATTCGCAGCATCTCTCTGGCAATGAGCTCCACAAGCTGACTGGACATTGCGTGAAGAAACACTTCCTGTTGTTTGTTTCCTATCAGCGCTAAGATACCTGAAGGTGTATTTCCAGTAGACCTAAATGTTACCCTATTTTTCCCAAGCAGTGGTTTCTTTTCCTATTACTCCTATGTCCTGCTCCTCAGCCAGCCCCGCGATCTCCCCCAGTCAGCCTCACTGCCCCTGCCAGCCGGTTTCCCCCCCTCTGCGAACTCCCCTGGCCAGCCCCACTGAATTACAACTGAAGTCTTAAACTTTGCCAGCTATTTATGCATTGTATTAGATGCATCTCCCACACAACAAAAACACGCTCCAGTTTAAGGTATTAAAGATGCAGAGATTCAAAACACGCAAACAGATTTTAAAAACTGAATTTGCATTTCTCAATGACTGATGTGAACACCTGTTTGAGCCTTAAGAAAATGTGCCCTCCGACAATGTCATTTTCAAGGGCATGCTCCAATCCTAAGGAAATTAGCAAAGAGACCTGTTCTCTGGTTGTAACAGCAGGTAGAATTAAGAGCACTGCAGGTGCTTGTTTGGGGGTTGAGAAGCAGAGGTGCTCCTGATGGAAACCAGAGGAAGTTACTGTGCAACTGAAATGTCCCTTTCATGGAAATGTTACGGAACTAGAGGATTGCAGACTAAATAGAACTGAAATAGACGATTACACTGAAAATAAAACTGAGGAGCTTTATGGAGAGTCTGCAAGCAAGCAGCATGGTCAGTTCCCTTCTCTTAGCCATGGCTGGCTAGAAATGGCTCTTTCTAGACTGATCTATCAGCTGGGTGACAAGAAGCCATTGACCCTCAGTGTTTTAAGCGCCCCTGGGCTGCTAGCATGACTGCAGGGCTGGCAGGGGGGTTCTAAGTTGCACAGGTTCTCAACCACCCAGCCTTGGGGGTATTTGGGAACCTCATTAAATGTTCCCTCTGTGCAAACAAGGGTGGAGGTGAACAGGTAGAGACAACTCTCTACTCCCAGCCATGCTCTTTGGCAGCAGCAGCACCTGTCAGCCAAAACAGTTCCTTGCTTAGCTCTCTGCTATGGGCTTTGGTGTCCACAATAAGCAACAGTTAATTCCCCCTGCCCTGCATAGAGACATCTCTGAGCCTGGCTAATTCAGTCGGTAGAGCATCAGGCTTTTAATTTAAGGGCCTGGGGTTCAACTCCCTGGTCAGATGAAGCGACCTTCTTCTCCCATCTGCTGCTCCCACTGGGGTTCTTCTAAAAAAAAAAAAAACCCACTTTGGTACACACAGAGAGAGAGAGTTCCTTTTCCTTTTTAGTACCTGGCCTTTCCTCTCAAGGGCTGTTTCCTGCCTGCTGCTCATCCTGACACAAGTACCTAAAAGGGTGTTACAAGGAGGGAGGAAAATTGTTCTCCTTGACCTCTGAGGCTAGGACAAGAAGCAATGGGCTTAAATTGCAGCCAGGGAGGTTTAGGTTGGTCATTTTAAGGGTGTGTCTACACAGCAAAGTTATTTCGGAATAATGGTGGTTATTCTGAAATAACTGTGCCAGCGTCTACACAGCAATTCCATTGTTTCAAAATAATTTTGAAATAAGACAGCTTATTCTGACTTCTGTAAACCTCATTCTATGAGGAATAATGCCTATTCCAAAATAGCTATTTTGAAATAAGGCGTGTGTAGATGCTCCACTGCTGCTGCTTTGAAATAGCTCCTCACAAGGGCCATTCCAAGTTATTCCTCCTGAGGTTCTAAATTGAGATAGCACATCTACACTACAGGGAAGCCTCAAAAGTAGTCCAAGGCAGGCTTCCCTAATGTAGATGTGCTTTTTTGAAATAAGCTATTTCAGAATAACTATTCCAGAATAGCTTATTCCGAAATAACTGTGCAGTGTAGATTTAGCCTAGGAGAAAACTTCCTGTCACAATGGTTAAATACTGGAATACATTGCCCAGGGAGGTTGTGGAATCTCCATCTCTGGAGATATTTAAGAGAACGTTGAATAGACATTTGTCAAGGATGATCTAGATGGTGCTGGGTCCTGCCATGAGGGCAGGGAACTGGACTCAATGATCTCTCGAGGTCCCTTCCAGTTCTAGTATTTTATGAATTTATGTTTTACCTGCAGGGGTGACTGCTGAGGAGGGACACAAGGGAAGCAACAGCCACATGACTCTTCCCCCCTCCACTTCCACAGGAATTCTCGTGCCACCCGTAGCCCATGGTCCACACTCTCTGCCTATTCTTTTCTTCCCCATCCCATTACCTGGCAGGGGAGGGGAGCACTGTCTCTTGCAGCATCTCCCATCCCTGGCCGGCAGCATGACTGGAGGCTGACTGGGTGATGCTTTTCTGGCCATGCTGCCTGGCTGCTGCAGCTGCAGAGACTCTGGCTCCTTTCCCCTCCCTCCCATGGTGTTTGGGGGATATGTGACCCTTTGTGTCCCCCCTGAGACATCACCCCTCACTCATCTCCTGGATTTCCAAACCCCCAAACAAGCAAAACAATAAAACCTGACCGACTATCTAAAGTTTTCCCTAATTACACATTTCAAGGAGTCCATTCCTGGGAGAGCCTTAGTCCCTCATTACCTGGGGGAAAAAACTGATCTGATCTCAAAGCAAAAGAAGAGAGAGAGAAAAAACCCTCTCTGCATTTGAAATTCCTATCTGCATTTAATTGGCTGAATGCCCGAAGGCCCCTCCCTCAGGTGTATTTCCAGAGTTGCTTAACCCTTTCTTCACTCTTCAAGTAAGTCAGACTCTCCTGTAAGCAGTCGGTCGGGACATCACCTTTTCACTGCTATAAAATGAACTGAAGTAAAAGGAATAGACCCTTTGTTGTGACAAACGTCCCATGAATTCTTCTGATCTCTCCTGTTTTCTTTCCCCGGTGCAGGGTTTGCTGTTTCCAAGCCTGATGTCATCTCTCAGCTGGAACGAGGGGAGGAGCCATGGGTCCCAGAGCTCCAGGGCTCTGAGCACAGAGAGATCCTGGGTGGTGAGAGATCATTAAACCAGCTCAAAAACTTTCTGTGCATTGAAGGATACAGCTAGCTACATGGGCCGTGTGAGCTCTCGGAGTTCAGGAGTTTCCCTGGGAGGGCTGGTAGCCTCAGGACATCTGGTGCTCCTGGTTTCTGACCGATCCTGACACCTGACAGCAGCTCCCTTCTTGCTGGGATGTGGAGGAAGAAGGTAGTTTCCCTCCTCTCTTCCCTGTGGGGAAGAATTCAGGAGAGTTTAGCTATTAGTTTTATTTTTTGTCTCTCAAGCTCTAACTTTGTTTTGATTTTCCCTTTTCTGCCCCTGTTTCTGATGTTTCTTTCTGTCTACCAGGTACTGGGATGGGGTGTGAGAACCAGGAGCTGAATCCTCAGCCAGAAGATGCCAAGCAAGTGGAACCACACAGAGGATTAGCGCAAGGCTCCAGAGGGGATGTGTCCAGGGGTCATGTGCATGGGGCAGCCTTTGAGATTGAGCACAGGCCAGAGAGGGAACAGGGAAACCAGCCCAGCAAGGAAGTGGGCAAATCCATTAGCTGCCAGGGAACTGACCAAGACCTCACGGAAACAGGAGCCCAGCAGAGAATAGCTATAGGAAAGAGAAAAATCACATGTCCTGAATGTGGAAAAAACTTCACTAGACACTCAGGCCTCATAAAACATGAGAGAATCCACACTGGAGAGAGACCCTATGGATGTGGGGTGTGTGGGAAAACTTTCAGTCACAACTTTCACCTTATTCAACATCACAGGATCCAGTCAGGAGAGAAACCCCATGAATGCAGCGAGTGTGGGAAGAACTTCACTCTGAGCCCTACATTTACTAGGCATCAAAGGTTCCGTACAGGAGAGAAACCCTATCTGTGTCAGAAGTGTGGAAAAATCTTCACTGACAGCTCAGCCCTTACTAATCATCAGAGAATCCACACTGGAGAGCGTCCCTATGAATGTAGTGAGTGTGGAAAAAAGTTCACTCGGAGCTCAGGTCTTATTACACATCAGAGGATCCATACAGGAGAGAGACCCTATGAATGCTGTGTGTGTGGGAAAAGCTTCACTCAGAGTTCAGCCCTTATGAAACATCAGAGGATCCACACAGGGGAAAGACCCTATGGATGCGGGGAGTGTGGGAAAAGCTTCAGTCAGAGATTTCACCTTATTCGACATCACAGGATCCATTCGGGAGAGAGACCTCATGAATGCGGTGAGTGCGGGAAAAACTTCACTATGAGCTCCACCCTTATTAGACATCAGAGGATCCACACAGGCGAGAAACCATATCAGTGCCAGGAGTGTGGGAAAAACTTCACTAACAGCTCAGCCCTTATTAATCATCAGAGAATCCACACTGGAGAGCGTCCCTATGAATGTAGTGAGTGTCGGAAAAAGTTCACCCGGAGCTCAGGTCTTATTATACATCAGAGGGTCCACACAGGAGAGAAACCCTATGAATGCTGTGAGTGTGGGAAAAGCTTCACTCAGGGCTCAGCTCTTATAAAACATCAGAGGATACATACAGGGGAGAGACCCTACGAATGTTGTGAGTGTGGGAAAAGCTTCACTCAGGGCTCAGCTCTTATAAAACATCAGAGGATCCACACAGGGGAAAGACCTTACGAATGCTGTGAGTGTAGAAAAAGCTTTACTGTCAAGTCAGACCTTATTGGGCATCAGAATATACACCTGGGAAAGATACCCCATCAGTGTTCTGAGTGTGGAAAATCATTCACGCAAAGCTCAGCTCTTGCTATGCATCACAGGATCCACACCGGAGCGAAACCCTATGAATGCCGTGAATGCGGGAAAAAATTCAATGTCAAGACAGCCCTCAATACGCATGAGAGGATCCACACGGGAGAGCGCCCCTACGAGTGCTGTGAGTGCGGGAAGCAGTTCAGTCAGAAATCAACCCTTCTTTCACATCAGGCAAGCCACACAGGAGAGAGACCCTATCAATGCTGTGAGTGCAGGAAAGGTTTCAGTGTGAGCTCCGCCCTGATTGTACATCAGAGAATTCACACAGGAGAGAGACCTTATAGATGCTCTGTGTGTGGGAAAAGTTTCATCCGAAGCTCACACCTTAAAAGACATCAGAGTGTTCACAGAAGAGACCCAGCATAGACATTGGCTACGTCTACACTGGCCCCTTTTCCGGAAGGGGCATGTAAATTTCACTAGTCGTCGTAGGGAAATCCGCGGGGGATTTAAATATCCCCCGCGGCATTTAAATAAAAATGTCCGCCGCTTTTTTCCGGCTTTTAAAAAAGCCGGAAAAGAGCGTCTAGACTGGCCCCGATCCTCCGGAAAAAGTGCCCTTTTCCGGAGGCTCTTATTCCTACTTTGAAGTAAGAATAAGAGCCTCCGGAAAAGGGCACTTTTTCCGGAGGATCGGGGCCAGTCTAGACGCTCTTTTCCGGCTTTTTTAAAAGCCAGAAAAAAGCGGCGGACATTTTTATTTAAATGCCGCGGGGGATATTTAAATCCCCCGTGGATTTCCCTACGACGACTCGTGAAATTTACATGCCCCTTCCGGAAAAGGGGCCAGTGTAGACGTAGCCACTGTGTGTAGAGCAGAGAAAAGATCATTATTAAAACACATTTGCTAATTCCTACATAGGAACCTTTTGGGCTGTTTTCACCATGTGCCTCACTCTGTTCTGTCAGCTCCTCTGTGTATTGTTGCCTACTTATGCATTTCAGATATCCCTTCTTTCGGGGGAATCCTGTGGTCCTTTCTACTAGGGATGTGTACAGTTAACCTGTTACCCCATAGCTGGTAATGCTTACTGGTTCCAGTTAACCAGTAACCAGTGAGGGCTGAAGCAGCCTCAGTCCACGGCGGACTTGAGTGCCCCGCTGCCAGGGGCTGCTCTGGAATCCAGAGCAGCCTCTGTCTGCAGAGAGCCGGGGGTCCCTGCAGGCACTGGCTGCTCCGGTGAGGGCTGGGAGCTAGTGGCAGCGAGCAGTCAGGGGGTGGGAGCATTGTGGGCTGGGGCTGATCCCACTTAGTTGGTTAACTGGTTATACATTAGGCCTAACTACCATTTAACTAACTGATTAACTGGATTTGTACATCCTTACTTTCTGCCAGCTCCTTTCTCCTGTGAGTGGTGGGAGTATGTACCCTTTATGGCTAACTGAGTGGTAATCTGAATTATACTGGAACACTGCAACTTCTTTTTTTGGGGGGTGGGGAGAATAAAATATAAGCAGCCATGGCTAAACCTGGAGAGTTTATCTGATTTAAAATACTCTCTATGGACTAAGGCAGTGGTTGCCAACCAGTTGATTGCAATCAACTGGTCAGTCACAGTGCCCCTAGGAGTCGATTACCATGGCCAGCTGGCTGGGCAGCTGCCTCTCTTTGATCCAGCCCTTTTGGAGCACGGCGCAACCTCGGCAGGCTGAACACTGCAGTCAGCTGGGCTGGAGCAAAGAGGGGCAGCCTCCCAGCCAGCTGGCCACAGGTTGAACCCTCCGAGGCTGTGCCACAATCAAGCTGGGCTGCAGCAAAGGGCGGCTGCCCCTCTTGTTAACTTGCTGGCGGGGGGGAGGGGGGGAGAATAAGCACGTGTGCACGCACATGCATGTGTCCCCAGCTCTTGTTTCCTGCTCGGGGAAGGAGCGGGGCTGGGCATGCTCCTCAGAGCCAGGACTGGGCGGTCAGCACATGTGGTGTGCCAGGGACTGGGCTATGCTGCACTGTTCCCCTTGGGCTCTGTGCGGGATCAGGGAGTCTCATCTCCAGTGCCCCTCTGTGCCCGGCTGGGCTGGAGCCAGCCCACAAAATCCACCAACTCTGGTGGTTGTATATCTGGCTGATGGGAAGCCCTGAACATCAGTCCTCCCTGTCCCTTCCCCTCACCCCATGGCGACTGAAGTGCCAGAAGAGTGAGGTGCCTCAGTTGGGGGCCACAGCTTTGGGGGCTGGGGGTTTTTGGAGGAGTTTTTTTGCTTCTCACTTGTGTGGTCCCCAACTGATTTTTCTGTGCGTCAGTCACCTCCAACCCAAAAAAGGTTCCCCATCCTTCCATAAATAAAGAAAACATTGAAAGCTTTTGTGTTGGACATAATATTTTACTTTATTTAAAATGAAGTTGGATAAATATGAGAAAGTTAACGCTTAATCTGTTTAATAATTTAAATTAAACTGTTCTCCCCAGCTGCAGCACTAGCAAAATTGCTTGGGCATAATTATGTAATTAACAGTAAGTTTCCATTAGCAACTGGTAGTCCATGGAAAGGTTTGCATTGACCCAGGTGGTCCATGGGGCATGCAGTAGAGAGAGCTCTTCCCACCCACTCCCCGACCCCCATCCTGGGAGAGCAGCACAACCCAGAGCAGGAGAGTTAAATCTTGGCACGCCATTTCAGAAAGGTTGCCGACCCCTGTCAAGAGCCTCTTCTGAAAAAAATGGTGGCTTATTAGGTATGCAAATTAGGCTGGGCAATATTCACACTTAGCCTCATTTGCATATCACTCGCGCAAGAAGCCGCGAGTGTAGACATAGCTTTGTGTTGTACATTGTATTTTACTTTATTTAAAATTAAGTTTGATAAACTAACATGAGAAGGTTAAAATGCTTAATCTGTTTCATAATTTAAACCATTCTCCCCAGCCACAGCACTAGCCAGTTGGCTCCGATGTAATTAACAGTGAGTTTCCATTAGTAACGGGTAGTCCGCAGAAAGGTTTGGAGGGCAGGGGGCCTCAAGAAAGGGGTGGGGTTTTGGGGAAGGGATGGGATAGATCCTGGCTTGTCCTGACATTTAAAAAGTGATCTTGGGTGTAAAAAGGTTGGAGACCACTGGGCTAAGGCATTTGAAGTGCACCATGGCCCTATGGCTGAGGTGAAAGAACCTGTGAGAGGAATAACATAAACCAGAGTACAGTCCCAGTGCAGGCTTCAGTTATTTCTGTGTCAAATTGAATTTGTTTTGATAAGCTCCAAATTAAAATTAAGAAGAGAAGTTGTGTACCCAGTTACACTAAAAAGGTTGGAGACCACTGGGCTAAGGCATTTGAAGTGCACCATGGCCCTATGGCTGAGGTGAAAGAACCTGTGAGAGGAATAACATAAACCAGAGTACAGTCCCAGTGCAGGCTTCAGTTATTTCTGTGTCAAATTGAATTTGTTTTGATAAGCTCCAAATTAAAATTAAGAAGAGAAGTTGTGTACCCAGTTACACTGTATGGTTATGTCTATGCGCTGCCCCCCCCCCCCCCCCTCAAGAAAATATGCAAATGAGGTGAAGCGGTGAATATCACCGTGCCTCATTTGCATAGTTAATGAGCCACCATTTTGTGCAAGAGCCGTTCTTCCTGAAAAAAAGTGGCAGAAAGACTCTTGCGCAAAATGGCGGCTCATTAAGTATGCAAATGAGGCATGGCAATATTCACCACTGTGCCTCATTTGCATATTTTCTTGCACAAGAGATTGTAATGTTTGGCAGGAGATGTCCATGATTCTGTTTACGAGTGCCAATGGATGATGAGTGAATAGGTAGTTTTTTCAGTTATTTTGTGTCACGTGGGACTTTCTCAGGAGCGAAGACCTCTTTTCCTTTTTGGAGGAAGCCAGCTGCTACAGCTCAGCCTTTGAACACTCAGCTCAGGATATGAGCTCCCTTTCCCAGGCTTTTAGGGCCATGGCGGTGTGTCTGCCTGATGCAGGGGGTACCTCCCAGTAGCAGGGGAAGTGAATTTTACTGTTGTCCTAGCCAGGCTCAGCAGGCACCTATCTGTGTTGTGCTGGAGTTGTGTCTGGTCAGGCCCAGCTAAGTGTGAAGGGCTGGTCAGAAGGGCTGTAAGTGGAAGTGATGGGTCGAGCGAACCTGAAGTGTGCAGGGGAGGGGGGAAGCTCCAACTTGCTTGTCCCCTGTCCCCAACAGCCCGGCCCAGGTGGGAAGTGGAGGGGCTGGGCTCTATCACAGGCCTGTACCATGCTCCACAATAGCCCCAGCCAAGAGCAGCTGCCCCCAGTGGCATGAGAAATGGCTCTGCCCTGCCTCTACTGTTCCCCAGAGGAGCTGGGATCAGGGTACCTCTGCTCATCCCGTTAGGGGCATATTCCATGCCCCTCTCCCCGCCAAGGTGGGAGCTCCAGGAAGACACGATGCTGCTACGAGTCTCCCCAGGCCAGGGCTGGCCCAGAGGCATGTGATCCCCACTCCTGAGCCTCCAGTTCCCAGGGAGCTGGTGAGATTGGCTGCCCTGGCCTGGGAACTGGGGCTGGAAGGTTCCTCCCTGGGGCGTGGGGACCTCATGCCCCCCCCCTTACATTGTGCCCCTCCAGTAAGAGCAAGTACAAAGTGCAGTCCAGTGGCCAGAGTCAATACAGCCTCTCTCATGTAAGGGGCAGATTGGCCTAGCGGGCAATAACTGGGCGGCCATCCCACCGAAACATGCTGACCTCACGCAGGCGGGAGGTACCACTTGTGTTCCCACTAGGGTCGCCTCCTACTCAGCTTCCTCAAGCTGTCGTTCATGAAGCATAGGGGGCTCCGAGCAGGTAACCCCCTGGGGCTGGAATACATCTCCAGTCTGGATCTGTGGCTCCGGCAGGCAAGGGCTGAGACCTCCCGCAAGGTCCTTCCGCTCTGGGGTCAGCCCAGACCGACCCAGGCTGCTCCCTTGCTACACTAGTATCACCCTTGGAGCATGGGCAGGGCGTGTCCAGACTCCCTGGCAGACAACCCCTGCCCCTGAAGTGGGAAGCCCTTTACCCACTTCTCCACCTTCTTTCCTCCAGCTGCAGCAGGCTCTAGGTTGTGTTAAAACCCTGCGTGGTAGCTCGAGCATGCTGGTGGGTAGAGGTGGCCGTGTTGGCTGTAACTTTGCTGTCCCTGCTCAGGGCAACTGCACCTGGATTCCCCTGCTGCGGTCAGCCAGCAACACCCACCCTCCCCCAGGCAGAGACATGTCTCTCCTCCTTCCCAGGCTGCAACCCCCCTCAGCCAGCCCTGAATACCAGGGACTGCCCTTTGCTGTCTCTGCAGAGACTATGAGCAGCGTTGCTGCCAGCGGTTGTACCCCCCCTCCCCCAAGCACTTTGGGAGCAGGAACATTTATTCCTCAGGAGAAAGCATTGCAGAGACAGCATCAAGCCAAGGGAAGAGCCAGAGGTCACCCCCACTAGAGCCTGAGTGGGTGATGACTCGGATGAGGCCCGCACATGCCACCCCCAGCTTTTTCTGTGATCCCCTGCCCCGTTCATCTGCCTGTCCCTCCTTTGTGCGGTTTGCGGCTCTGGGCCTACAATCACAGGGTCACGGCTGCCACCACCTGTTTGTGGGGGGGGGTGTTTCCAGGAATGGGGAAGAAGACCCCCAGGCACGATGTAGCCCTTGACTTGCCTGGATCTGGCCTCTGATACTCAGGTTTCCACCCCCCAGCATTGGGGAGCCAGTGTGGGCATTCCAGACCCCCCTTCTTAATGTGTGTGTGCCCCTGGCTGATTTTTCTGCGGGTCAGCGGCCCCCCCAGCCAAAAAAGCTTCCCTGCCCCTTCACAGGGTATGTTCTGATCCTGCCTGACTCCACTCCCAGGCAATTTCCCCGTTCAAATCCTGCTCCCAGGAAAGAGCCAAGCGCCAGTCCCATGGCAGGGTTGTGGGGGGTTCTCCGCCGATGGTCTTAGAGACGCCCCTGATCCCCCCAGTGTTGGGTATCCTGAGAGTCAGGCAGATGCGGATCTGGGGGGATCCAGTCTCAAAGGGGGCGGGCAGGCCTGGCTAGTAACTTGTCCCCGCAGGACTCCCTGGCGCTGAGCCGCCAACACTAGGGGCTCCCCCCGTCCAGGGCGTCCCCAGGCTCCTGCAGCACTTGCCCCGGCTCCCTCCCCCGGCGCGCCG